GGATTTCAGAGCTTTTTATGTATGAAGTAAAATACATGGCAACAGTGAGACACGTAAGACTGGAATGCCGTTGGGTTAAAAGCCATTTGGCATCAGAAAGTGCTACAAGTTTTTTAAATTACAGGAAACAAATGTTAAACTTCAAGTGTCAAAACAAAATTAAGTATTTGTGTAAATAAAGACAAAAGACCACCATACATTAAGCAATTTAGAGAACATATTCTATTTTTAAAATGTGCTTATCCCATAATTAATTATTTCTAGAATAAAACTGTAAAAGCACTTTAAAACAGAAAATGAGAGGCTTTACTTGTTTTGCAAAGTGGGAAAGTCTTTCCTCCAATAGTCCTCCTATCTTACCTGTATCTTCAATGAATTGCACACATTTTTCAACAAACAGAGGTATCGGTTTCTCAGGTGTAACCAGATCCTGTAGGGGCATCCCAAAGTAATTACTTTCCCAGTTTCTACGGATTGGAGGATTGAATGTCTTAGTTTTCTTTTTCGGCTACAACAAAACAAGAGTTATTTAAGTAATATTCAAGTAATATCTTCACTAACTCATACTGCAACCATTCAGTAAAAACAAACAGATCACATATCTACCAGACATTAAAATTCCTCTACAGCACACTGAATAAAAATAAATGTACTTTTAAAATAGCATACATTAGACACAAAAATGCTCAAATAACTTCTAATAGATCTGGTAATTTTTGTACCACATTAGGAACAGGATGACCCAATGCACCAGTAACTGAAATACTATAGGAACAAAAATAAACACACTACTTGTTTAGAGCGCTATGACAAGTCTTTACATCCTAACTTTCAGCATCACTCACAAAGGAATCTACATGAACCACATTTGAACCACACCTCTATAGAAATCTTCAGGATAAGACTGTGAAGTGTTACATCACAAAACAAAATTAGTGTCTTCTGTATGCGTCTCATTAAAGATACTAAATATTTTTTCTATTGCAACTATGCTAGAAACATGATGGTGCACGACACACAGCAATCAATCTCAGAGTTCGAGTTGCAGGCACTCCTATTAAGCATGACTGCTTTGTTGTAGGCACAGGATTTTAGCCAAAAAAAAAAAAAATGCACCCAATCAAATCTAGTACAATGATGAGTTTCATATAAAGATTTTTTGCTTGTTTTGATTTTTTTTTTCCTGAGAGAGACTTTTATCAGTTCAACTGGTAAATCACCTTTGGACGATTACAAGAATTATATTGTATATATATTTTCATCTCTGAATGTTGATGAAAATATTCAGAGATGGCCACACAAAGTGGCCAATCAATTGGTTGTATGTTGGCAACTGAATGTGGAAACTGAATGAACATCACCATTAAAATCTAGCATTTTATCTTTAAGTTTATATGCAGTAAGAAGGTTGCTAAAAGCAGTTACATTTTCATATATAAACTCTTCAGTCAACATCTAATAGTAAAAAATAAAAGAAAAACAAAAAGCACAATAGCCAGACTTAAATTTAGTAAAAAGTTTTCTAGAATTTTACAGTTTATAGTAAGTCTACATCTCAATTAACTGTTAAGTCAAAACATGTCTCATTTCTGTATTTTACATGTAGAAAAGTCTTGAATTTCAATATCTTAGTGTAATAAAAAAACCCAACGGGTTAACTTCTAGAGTTTTGTCCCATCGAATTTACTTAATCAGTCCTTACCAACTACCTAGAACTTCAGGTCAGCAAGGTACATATTCATGATTGACTTGCCCACTGAGAATCAATGAGCTGAAGTTGAACTCTATGGGGGACAGTGGAAACTACAGCCTAAAGAACATTTCTCCAACTGTCACCTACAGCACCTATGGAACTTCTCCAACACTTGATAAAAGAAAATCTGTTAATCAAAGCCTTTCAACAACCTAATTGAACACTTAAGACTGTTTACATGGAACGTCTCTTTTAAGACAGCTTGTGCTTCTTGAAACCAGCAGCAAAGTACCCATGATTGATCACAGTAACAGAAGGCTAACAAAAAATTAGGCTTATTTAGATATTTGGGATTTCTATAAAAAGTTCAGCACTTTAATTTAGAATTTACCAATTCTTCAAAACACTAGAAAGAAATTGCTCTCCAGCAATTCATTTCTCCCCAAGTTTTACATTCACTGAAAACTTAATAAAAAGTTTAGGAAAAAAAGCTTAGGATAAAACTTTCGATAAACTTTTATGACTAAGCAGACAGTATCTGAAAACATTCTTTTCAACTGTCAACTCTTTGCATAACTTTTATTCATCTTGGATAAAATATCTATGGTTCTACCACCATGTGCCTTCAGATTAGACACAGCTTTTTCTTCCTTCCTTCTCACTGCGACAGTCCCCTAGTTTGTTGGCTATTTTCTCTTTCGTGGCAAAATCATATTTTATTAGGCAACATCCAGTTCAGAGAAGCAGCAGCTGAAAGGGCAAAGCTGAAGCTAAAGAATGTGTAAAACTCAGTGAAAACATCTTTGTCAGATGTTGAATGAAAGATCATTTCAGAGATACATACATTAGCACAATGAAAAATTAAAAACAATTTATTTTTTTCCCCCAAGGTGTTCAGTGCGCATCCCCACCATCTTAGAATATGGTGCAACACTCAGACTCTGTATTTCAAACCCAGTAGATAGAAAAAGACTGTGTGTGTCTCTCTGATTAAGATGTAATATTAGCATAACATAATTAAATATAAACAAATTTTGTTGGTGTGAGCGGAAAGCAATCTGGTTAATGGAATAATAAACTAGAATTTTTCAGAATTTTTATTACAATTATAATACTAATGAATATTATTAACTGTGTAGAATACCTGGACTTGAATATCAAGTATGTCTGCAAAGCCAGAATAAATAATGGTTTTCTTCTAATAATTGTCCTGCGTTCAGAAGAATGGTTGTAAGGGACTGAGATATCAAGTATGACATCATACACTCAAAAAAGCAGAAAGGTTTCTTATTTCTTCTTTCTGTCTACCTGAAACAATCAGTTTAATCTCCAATTTGGAAAGTGAGAATTTGTCTAAAGAATTTAATATAGAATAAAAGAATAAAGAAAAAAAGAAAACAAAAAAAAAGCTGAAGCCCTTTTCAAACTGATCTAAAAGTAGAGTACAAGAGATGATCGTTGCACAGCTATTCCATAAACATGGAACTAGCATTTCACAAGGTAGACAAAGTTACAGTAATAATTTCATCAGCTATTTCCCACTATGTTTCATGTCACTTTCTTGTCCAATATTTACTAAAATATCTCTCTTGTGATTTCCCTTTTTTTGCGGCATGTGAATGGTAATCTCTCCAATGACAGTGCAAATCAAATCTTCCTGCAAATAACATATTTACACAATCTTCACAAAAAATTACTTCTGCAAATTAACAACAAAACTTTAAGGTATTAAAAAAACACCACGTTATTTCCTGTTTTGAGACTTCCATACTTTCCTTAAGTTGCATGTCTAGACTTCTTAAGCAGAGAACTTGTTCTAAATGAAAAGGCATGTTACTGTGCAAAAGACCTGATCTTTGTCAAAAGATCAACTGACTTCAGGAAAAAAAACAGGTCTTATTTCTAACAAAATAAGCTTTAGTGAAAGTTTTTTTTTAATGCGTGTTCCCAACTCAGAAAATAGCAGTTTTTCTGATCCATCAGTCATAGCATGGAACTTTTAAATCTGCTCGTCAAGATAATGACTATCATAATTTTTGCTATGTAAAATTAACTTTCAAGAATTCTCTAATGAAACAATAAACAAAACCACTGTTAAACATTAAATTATTCATTTAGTTAAACAGCACCTAAAAAAGATGAATTATTTCTAAATTCCTAGATTTTGGCAGAGAGATTATGATTTTTGCCACAGGTATTTTTAGTTCAATAGTTCTGCCCAAAACACCTACTCCCACAATACGGCAGTAACCCAATACTGCACACAGCAAGCACTGATCCAGGCACAGTCAAAGACAATTTGGTACGCTGTTTCTATATCATAATGAAAACTGACTAACAGGCACCAAGTTAGAGAAGACAAGAACCAGCACAAAAGTTTTGTTGGTTAATCCTAGTGAAAGCTCATTGTATCACATACCACTGTTTCATGTTAGTAATTAAAACTCAAGCCAAACACCATGAAGCTGAAATCCTTAGTTTTCATATAAATCTGCACTTTTTTATAATTGATCGCTGCACTGATGTCGAGCTTTCCAGCAAAGGTTTCACCACTTGCTTCTTGCCAAAGACAACTTCTCTTCATACCCTAACAGAGGTTAATGCCAAAGCTTCAGCTGATCCATATAAATTTTGGCAGGAAATCATTTTAACTCAGAGAATCCCAAACTTGCCTTGTGTTGCTGATACCAAAAGCAATATTGCTTTAATTACAGTAGTTTAATCACTGAAACATGTGTTGAAAAAGATCAGTTGAAGTCCTCTTCATAAAAGACAAGGTAAACATGAAAACATGTATTCTAGCATGGCACAGTATCCAATTCCTGATTTCAAAACTAGAAATATTATTATAAAAAGCATAAAAACATGAAAACGTATATTTAAAGTATACTCAAGATCAGCCCTCTTGACTGTAGGTACCAGGAAAACAGCTAAGCAGCACTTATCTTCTAGAGAGAAACTAGTCTGAGACTTCAGCCAGCTGTGAGTTGAGAGTACAATGCACTTAAATACAACCTTTTAAAATTAAGAAACCTAAAAAACTGCCCAAACCTATCTGTCAAACCCCTTTATGGCTGGGCTGCTTACTTTACTCTTTGTCCAAGAGGGTCTTCCCTTCTTTTTTTCCTCTCCCCTCCATCCCACCAGAACTACCATCATTATTTATCAAAGGGGAGATTCAGCCACTTCTCTACCTCCCACACACTTCTCTACTACTAATACAAAGGAAATTTTCTGCCTGCTTCATTTGCAGTCAGCCCTAGGGTCACAGAGTGCAAAGTCAATATTTTCAAGACTATTAAAATACTTCATAAAACCACGCACCATGAACAGCATTCATTTTATATGCTTAATAAAGTATTTGTAATCTCTAATTCATAGCTAGCTCTTCAGAAACTATACAACATATGAATAATGCAGATGATGGTCCCTAACATGCTCTCTCTTTCTTCCCCTCATGCCTTCTGCCATTCTTAGAGTTCCAGCTTGTTTTACCAACTTTTGAACTACAGAGGCTCAAGAAGGCATATGGCTCCAAATATGCATTTTAAGAGTGTTAAATTTGAACAGATGAAACCTGAAAGTACAGACTTTGATATTTCCTATACTCCTCAGGAGAAAAAAAAAAATTTCACTGCACATTCCAGGCTGAAGTAGATAGTACTTTGCTAAATCAACCACTGAATTTAGTCAAGAACAGATGAATAAAAATGTAAGTTTATCTCCCATTTCTCACATTTACCATAGTCTTATTAAAACTGAGATCAACACACACAGGTTATACAGTTCCCAACAACATTTCAGTAATACTTTCA